CATTCAGCAGTCGCCAAGAGGAGGCGCCCAGGACATAAGCCAATGGTACAAAAGTAGCAGCAGTGCGTAGACCATTTGACAGGACTTGGCCACCACCAGCCTTGGCGCATCATAGGCTCTCCTGCCCATCGCATATATATTTATATATTTATATATATGTATATATACATATACTTATGAATATGTATACAGGAATATGCATGAAAAGGTACATGCTTTTATATTGCCAAATGCATACATGCGAAGCGGCTGCTTTGGACAGTGCAGCCAATGGGAATATTCTCCACTGCGGCTCCGTCGATCGAGTTCACCCAGTTTTGGAGCAAGTAAAGGGTATTAATTATTCTTTGAGAGAATTCTTGGGTCTTGTGAGCTTTGCTACGGATCACGCAAAGAGTGACAGTCATTAGAAAAATAGTCTTCTCTTGTACCAATGTGTCATCTATCTCGGCCCCTGCGATTGTCACCGTATTTTTAATCAGACTGACTGGACCGTGTTGGTTAGACGTCATATTCCAGGTTAGTTTAGCTAACATACTGCATTATTGACGCAACTAGTTTATTCTCTGGAGGAAGTGTCATCTACCCCATTTTTGCTGGTTATTAGATCCCACTCATTTTGACCATCAGATATGGGGCTTGGTTGAAATTTTATCGGTACTCCTTGAATGCACTATTTTTACACAACTTTTCTGCCCACTATTTTTATTGCTACTATGCTGTTCTTTTAACAGCTATCGTTACCTTTTTCTTACCACAACACTCGTGTGACGTAATCGTTTGATCCTACGCTACATTATTCATACTTGCCCAAGCAACTTAAATCTCCCGCATAGCAGTGTGAACTTCGACCAGAAATGCTCTAAGTAAACAGTGTCGGAACTACAGGACACGCCGGAAACTAAGCCGGGGCGAACAACGCTCGTATTTCCACCTGTCTTTAGCATACGAGTCCGTGTGACCCCACGTTGCTTGCTTCATTCAGCAAAGTGCGGGTGTAATGTGTACTTTCCCTCCCATTCTCCAGGTCAGGACTGCTCAGCTTCAGTGTTTCTGTTCAACTTTGCTATGGACGACATCCTGCAGGCAGCACTGGGCAACTGCGAACCCAGAGGCATTAAGATGATTCCGGGAAACCCTCTCGCATGTGGCAAGAAGCCGTGCTCAATATCGAATAAGTTGCGATACTCTACTTCCGTTACTAACGTTTAACATATTTTATTCCTCTCCACTTTCGTTGTTTAGTTTTCGTCCATATGTTGTGGCACTCTAGCAACCTACTTTCAGCCAATATATATATATATATATATATATATATGTATATATTGGCTAAAATTAGGTTGCTAGAGTGCCACAACATATGGATGAAAACTAAACAATGAAAGTGGAGAGGAATAAAATGTTAAACTTTAGTAACGGAAGTAAAGTATCGCCCATGCTGAGGCTGATTTTGCATTCATGATGCTTCTTCACCGCAGTGGGGCTAAACCAACTTACACTTAAACTAGGTCTTTTTAATATGGACAAAATTCATTACATTTTATTTTGGTTGTTCTGCTTACTTGATAATCTTTTCCCAACTTGCACAAGTCGCTCATGCAGAATGTAGTAAACTTGCGTACATGTATCGCGCGGTATTTTTTAAAAATAATTCGGACATTTTGTACTTATCACGAATCCAATTATAACCAATTTCTTCTATATGCTCATTTAGCGAGTATATATGTCGTCATAAGCGTTTACTTTAGTCGGTATCGGCATTTTGAGTGCTTGGCTTTTGTTTGACATCCCAGGTGTGGCCGCGCTTCATGTGCATGTTGACAAGGTACCTACCTGTCTACTATCCATTACCTCGTCCATCTGGCTCCAGGAGACAGTTGGGCTTTGCTGGAGGTGACGTGGTGGACGGTCTTTGTGGTCGTGCTAGGCTCGAAGAGTAGTTCTACGTAGTCAGTTTGAGCGGACTACGGTCCAGCCACCGCCTTGCGTGCACTTGATTCCCCAAATACAGCGTGCTTATGTTTGCCTGTGAAGGAGTGTGGGCCGGCTCCATTTATGGACTGTGGCTCCCATCCGCATGCCTCCCGGTCTTATTCCTTCGGGTTTACACTGGATATGGTTTGTGTGGATGGAGCTGTGGGTGGTGCAGCGCAAGCCATCCATGGTCTCTGTATAGGCGTAGGCGTCATGTGGCTGGCCACAGTGACAGGCAAATCCGAAACAGGATGCCGCCAACCATTGCATTTATATGTGTATATATATACTTATGTATGCACTTATGTATATAAAAGCATGAATTTGTCATAAATGCACCTGTATAAATATTAACATGGATTTTTATAAATATCATAAATTTGGTATACATATGAGCAGTTATACTTATAACAGTATATATCTCAGCATGTGCCGCATAACTTGTTACATCATAAAGGTATGGCGTCATACATATGTATATGTGTACATGTGCATGGAACCTAGAGTACCGATACTGTAACAACCATCAGCTTAGCGTTGGCACTGAGCTTATGGCGTACAACTCCATGGTGCTATCCGTTCTTCTAGACGGCAGCGGAACGACTATATACAGGCAAGATGTGCGATATCTCGAGCGGTTCCACCAACAATGCTGCGACTGATTCCGCTCATTGTTTGGGGGTCAGAGTTGTGGACAACTAAGTGCTGCGACGAAGTAGTATGAATGCGTTGGACTGCATCATTTTGCTGAGGAACCTGTGGTGGTTGGGTCTTGTGTGGTGTTTGTATTTGACGCGGATAGAGAAGCAGCAAGTATATGGTCAACTGAGTTTGAGGAAGTAGCATGTGGGACAAAAGAAGCTTCGTTACCAGGATATGAACAAGGTAAGCCGCTAAAGATCTAACCTTGTTTGCAGCGCATTGGAATAGAACGCGGTTATCGGCGTGAATGGCGCAATCTGATCAAGCAAATAGTTGCTGATGTTCAGGAGAAAGCCTTATTACATACGGAAAAGAAGCGGCAAGTGCAGAAGCGGCAAGCGCCGATGGTTTGCACTCCATCGACATTGAGCGCATGGTGATGTCGCACATGCGGTAGCGGGTGCCTGAGTCAGGCAGGCCTAGTGTGCTTTGGGTGAGGCCAATCAAGGCCACCACAGATACGACGACAGGTCCTGCTGATAACGTAGGCAGAACCAGCGAAGCGTTTGTAGGCAGGCTGTATTTGATTCACTAACCGCGTGCTTGCATAATGAGTCTCCTTATTTATAGTGGTAGGTGTGCTAAGCTGTCCTAATGCCTTTTAGTATCTCCTGTTAATGTCGACCTGAACTATCATCTGGTAACTTGCACATGTCGCCAATGCTTAATGTGGTGGCTTTCGGTGACACCTTCTTTTGTTGCACTTCATTAAAATATATTTGCTGACTTCTTAAACGCTTCACGGATAGAATGGCAAACAATTTCTTTCATATGCTTAATAATTGAAGCGTTTTGTCAGCATATATGTATGCACTATTTGATTTAATTCCTGTAATATATTCATCAATGTTTGTTTGCTGTTGGTTAATATCTCCGGTATAGTTGCGTTTGATTTGTATGTTGACAAGTGCCTACCTGCCTATTACCCACTACCTCGTCCATACTGGCTCCGGGAGACAGTTGGTCGTTGCAGAAGTGGACGGCGTGCGCGGCCCTTATGGCCGTGCTAGGCTTGTAGTGTGGTTCCGTGCACTCAGTGTGGAAGAGACTAAGGTCCAGCCACCGTCTAGTGTGTGCACGATTCCCAACTACCGCGTGCTTGTGTTTGTCTGTGAAGGCTTGTGGGCAGGCTCCGTTTATGAACTGTGGTTCCCATCCACATGCCTCCCGGTTTTATTCCTTTGGGTTTACACTGGATTTTGGGGGTGTGCTTGGAGCTGTGTGTGGTGCAGCGCAGACGACCCGGGATCCTTTTGTAGCCGCAGGAGTTCTCTGGCTGGCTACAGTGACAGGCAAATCGGAAGCGGGATGCCCCAAAGGTATTTATGCATATGTATCCCTCTATTCATGCAAGTAAACTTATATCTGTATATATGTGTATAAATGTTTGTGTAAAAAACGTACAAAAATATCAATGTGTGTATAAGTAAATATATGTTTAGGAGCATATTTATACAAAATGTTCCTTTATAATTTTTGCATAAATAAATAAATATATGTTTCGATGTGCCTTATACATAAATGTACAGGCATATATGTGTATGTATATTTGTAGTTCTTGCTTTGTCTCTTACTAGGTTTTTATTATGAAACACTAGCTCGGAGTTCCCATGTAGTCAGGATTACCGCAATACCGGCTTGTACTAGAGTGCTTACTTCTCAAGTAGCAGGTGTTCATTTATGGGGTGGATCCGTAACACGCAAAATGTCTAATGCGTTAACCCAGTAGGCAAAGAGGTCAACCGCTTGTGTATGAAAATGATGCCGTCCTACTAAACAGTGCCTCGTCCTATAGCCTAACGAATGAGAGCTTCAGTTGTATGGGTATACGCGTAGGACTAGTTAATACTAGTCCGAGACGATGCGCGGAATTAAGCGCGGATATCAGAAGGCAATTGGAGTCGGACACAGCGGACTGTATTCGATGGGCTACAACACGAAGCGGACGGATGAAGCGAGGCAAGAGAGTACACGTGAGCGCGGGGACTTACAAGGCAGTTGTGTGTCGAGCCGGTTGTAAGATTAAAACAAGAAGGAGTAATGTACAATCGGTCAACAAGTAAATTGTACATGAAAGAAAAGAGTTATCTTCTTGGGCGCTACATACGTCAGCTGAAAAATTGTGTAGCGGAAAGTGGCTGGGTGTTTACACAGCGTATGCTATGGTTTTGGAATGCATGGCATGCTTTCCGCAATACAAAAGTGGAAAAACACAGACAACTTAACGTATGTGCTATCGATACCACATAGTATGCAGCTAAGTCATGCGGACAAGCATTGGCATGTATCGGTGCAAGCATACTGCGCCGCCATGAGGCATAAATAGTGTAACGGGGTTTAGGAAACCGGTCCAGTATGCTCGACCTTACCACCTAAGCGCAGGTTACCGGAGTCAGCAGATCAGTTCGATCGAGAGAACGCGTGAACCCACCGGGAGACACAGCGATGGCTGGACAGCGAATCACGAGTGGCACACGTATCCAGAAACCGACAAACCGGATTGGACAATAGAACATAGAGGGCGCACTGGCAACTCGAGAATCGCTATTAACGGCAAGTTTCAGAGTGCAAAGCCAAATATGAGCGGTCCAAAGAAATACGGCCAATCAGATGCCAAGCACGAAAGATGTGATCATTGCGCGAGACAGGAAGACAGCGACCGAAGAGGAATAGCATAACCCAATGAAATAAAAGGGGAACGCGACCAATGAGGTGAACCGAAAAACAGAAGACCCACTGAGAAGGCTCGAAGATTAACAGTGTTTATTTCTTTTAAATAGGCTACCCTATACTGAATAAACGCCTGTTTTCCGCCCGCCGCCATCGTGACTTTTTGATCGTGTCCGTGTCACATAACATGGTGACAGAGGAGAAGAAGAAACCGATGCCCAAGATGCAGCTTGCAGTTGGAGGTCAACCGGCGATTCCGTTTCCATCCCCTTTGCAGATGACTGAGTGTTCTCTACCAGACAGTTGGCGGATTTGGAAGAGCAAGTGGGCGGATTTCGCAACACTGACTCAGCTGGACGCCCAGCCGATGAACTACCAACTCGCAATGTTTAGGCACGCTATTGGTGACGATGCAAGGAGGGTTCTTGAAACACTGAAGTTTGGCGACCAGAAGGCGGATCTTTCCGAAGTGATGCGGACATTTGGCGAGTTCTGCGAAGCGCGTGTGAACGAGACCTACCAACGATATCTGTTTTTTGGACGCGATCGTTTACCGGGGGAGTCGTTCGAGAGATACATCACAGAACTGAAGCTCCTGGCACGAACTTGCAATTTCTGTGAATGCATGAAGGAGTCACTGATACGGGATCGCATCGTTATTGGGATAAGGAACGATGAACTCACACGCCGGTTTCTGCGACAAAGGAACTTGTCACTGGAACAGTGTGTCGACATCTGCCTCAGTGAGGCCAGAACAGATCAGCAAGTCGAACATCTGCGCGCCGAAAAGAATACGGAGTTGTTTGCAGTATCCCGAACCGAGGGACGTATCCCGAGATCACCCGATGAACAGGTAACTGATTGCCAGTTTTGCGGCCGCAGGCACCAAAAGAAGAAGGAGAGTTGTCCAGCGTGGGGTCGGACGTGCATGAAGTGCTCCAAGAAAGGTCACTTTGCTCGTTGCTGTAGATCATACAGAGTGAGTTCGGTTGCCGACGATGCCAGAGAACGGGAACAAGAATTGTTGATAAACAACATGGATGGCCGGGCGAAAAGCAAGTGTGTGTTTGCAACACTTTTGGTTCGAGGACAACCGGTACGTTTTCAGCTAGACTCCGGGGCTGCGGTTAACATCTTGCCTGAAAAATACTGCAAGGGGGTGCGATGTGAAGAAACTCAAAAGTGTCTCAAAATGTGGAACGGCTCAAGGCTACAACCGAAGGGCATCGTCATTTTGGAGACGGTCAATCCAAAGGAAGGAACAGAGCACCCGCTGGAGTTCCTGATTGTTTCGGAAGACCTTATGCCCATTCTGGGCATTGATTCTATCCAGCGTTTTGGTTTTGTTTCTTTTAACCACGAACGTTTTGTTCATGCGTGTGACATCGAGGCAGATATTTTTGATAAGTACTCGAGTGTGTTTGATGGCGGAGTAGGGATGTTCGAGGGACCCGCTCACTTATCGTTAAACGAGCTAGCAACACCGGTGGCGTTACCAGCTAGGAAGGTGCCAATTGCTTTGCGCGAAAAATTCTTGAGTGAGTTGCAACGTCTCTGTAGTCTGGGAGTGATAGCTAAAGTTGACGAACCGACTGATTGGGTCAGCCAGGTGGCGATTATTACAAAAAAGTCAGGCGAGCTGCGTATATGCATTGATCCGAAACCGCTTAATGCCGCACTCAAGAGAGAGTATTTTACGTTACCGACACTAGACGACATGCTGCCGGTGTTATGCAATTCTAAAGTGTTCACGAAAGTCGACCTCGCCTCTGCGTTCTGGCACGTATCACTAGATGATGAGTCAAGCTACATGACAACTTTCGGAACACCATTCGGGCGGTACCGTTGGCTTCGTTTACCGTTTGGACTGAAAGTGTCTAGCGAAATCTTCCAGAAGCGACTAATGCAAGCGTTGGACGATCTACAGGGAGTATTCTGCGTAGCGGACGATGTGTTGGTTTTTGGCGCTACTCGTGAAGAGCACGATCAGAACCTTCGTAGCTTTTTACAACGTTGTGTTGAAAGAAACATCAAACTGAAACGTGAAAAGATCGAACTACGCAGTACAGAGGTTATATTTCATGGGCATGTGTTAAGCGCGGAAGGGCTAAAACCAGACCCTGAGAAAGTAAGAGCTATAAGAGATATGCCGTCCCCCACAGATGTGAAAGCGGTTGGCAGGCTAAATGGGATGATCAATTATCTGAGCCGGTTCCTGCCCAAGTTAGCTGATGTTATGACACCGATCAGGAAGTTGACTCATAAGGGCGAAAGCTGGCACTGGGGTGCAGAACAAGAAGAGGCCTTCCAGGCAATCAAGGAACTCATCACTAACGCACCTGTTCTCGCCTACTATAATCCGCAACTCTCCCTCGAGATTCAATGCGACAGCAGTCAATTTGGTATCGGGGCCGTACTCATGCAGAATGGGAAACCCATAGATTTTCGCAGTAGGACGTTGACAGAGACCGAGCGTCGTTACGCCCAGATAGAAAAAGAGATGCTTGCAGTGGTTTACGCCGTCGAACGTTTTAATGACTATACATTTGGCCGGAAGACTACAGTGTTTACAGATCACAAACCGTTGGTTTCCATCGCCAACAAGCCGCTACATGTTGTTCCCCGCCGCTTACAGAGAATGCTTATTCGCCTTCAAAAGTACGACCTAGAGATTGTGTATCGACCTGGTCCCGAAATGCATATCGCAGACACGTTATCCAGGGCATATCTGTCAGACACACCAGAGGAAGACGAAGATTCAGATTTCGTTCATGCAGCACAACTAGTAGCTGTTACCGAGGAACGATTGAAACAGCTCCAGCAGTGCACAGAGGAAGATGAGTTATGCAAGCTACTGAGGCAGACAATACTAAGTGGCTGGCCCAAGAACAAGAAAGATCTACCAGGAGTGCTGACCCCGTTTTTCCATTTTCGTGATGAACTCATTGTCCAAGACGGGTTGATATTCAAAGGCAATAGGATACTAATCCCCAAAGCGTTGCAGCGCGCGATGACAGAGCTTGTCCACTATGCACATTTGGGAGTCAACAATTGTGTGGCCAGAGCGCGAGAGCTAATGTTTTGGCCGGGAATGACCAGCCAAATACGAGATTACGTCTCAAATTGTCTGGCATGCCGAACACACGACGTACGTCAGTCAAAAGAACCGATGATGCTCCGTGACGTTCCGGACAGGCCCTGGCAGATGGTTGCAGTAGACATCTTCATCCACGATGGAAAAAGTTACTTAGTGTTGGTTGATTATTTCAGTGACTACTTTGAAATCGATGCTCTAGCTACGACCAGTACAGACGCAGTGGTGAATAAGCTACGATGTCAATTTGCTCGTCACGGAATACCGGAGGTAGTAGTCTCGGACAACGGGCCGCAGTTCGTTAGCGCAGAGTTCCGAGAGTTCAGCAGAAAGTGGGATTTCCATCACCGGCTTACTAGCCCATATCACAGCCAATCAAATGGAAAGGCCGAGTCGGCGGTAAAAGAAGCAAAGAAGGTGCTTACCAAAGCTAAAGAGACTCAGGAGGACCCTTATATTATGTTGCTGGAACGCAGAAACACGCCATCAACAGAAATTGGGGCAAGTCCGGTGCAGCGACTCTTCAGCCGGAGGACAAGAACGTTGATACCAACTGCGTCAAATCTGCTAACACCTGAAGTATCACCAGCGACCTCGATACACGAGCGGTTACGAAACAGAATGCTTAGGCAAAAGAGATACTACGATCGCGGGGCGAGAAAACTCCAACCTCTAGCATTGGGAGAAGAAGTGTGGGTGCAACCAGTACCAGGATCAGAGGGACACTGGAGGAAGGGAGTTATTCAGAGCCGCAAGGGAGAGAGAAGCTACGAAGTGAAGGTTGGGGACACTACAATTAAGCGGAACCGAGTACAGGTCCGGAAAGCAGGTTGTACGCGTGTTACCCAGATGGAAAACGGACAACAGCAGCCAAGACAGATACGCGTCACCCCTGCAGAAGGAAGGAAACTCACACGCAGCGGAAAGCAGTATGGGACATACTGCGGCGCAATCCTAACAAAACAAAAGGAAAAGGATGTAACGGGGTTTAGGAAACCGGTCCAGTATGCTCGACCTTACCACCTAAGCGCAGGTTACCGGAGTCAGCAGATCAGTTCGATCGAGAGAACGCGTGAACCCACCGGGAGACACAGCGATGGCTGGACAGCGAATCACGAGTGGCACACGTATCCAGAAACCGACAAACCGGATTGGACAATAGAACATAGAGGGCGCACTGGCAACTCGAGAATCGCTATTAACGGCAAGTTTCAGAGTGCAAAGCCAAATATGAGCGGTCCAAAGAAATACGGCCAATCAGATGCCAAGCACGAAAGATGTGATCATTGCGCGAGACAGGAAGACAGCGACCGAAGAGGAATAGCATAACCCAATGAAATAAAAGGGGAACGCGACCAATGAGGTGAACCGAAAAACAGAAGACCCACTGAGAAGGCTCGAAGATTAACAGTGTTTATTTCTTTTAAATAGGCTACCCTATACTGAATAAACGCCTGTTTTCCGCCCGCCGCCATCGTGACTTTTTGATCGTGTCCGTGTCACATAACAAATAGTACGAAAGTGCATGCCGTCTTAAGGTTGCCATATGCACGCATGATTGTGAAGTTAATGTGTGACGTGTAAGTTTGACAACTGAAAAGGCATACTCTCACAGACGTGGTAGACGCACGTATATACAGTGTATTGATAGACATGGTAAGGAGCAATGTTGTTGGAAGGCAGGGTTGACAGGTTTCTATGGAGTAAGTTTGCAAAATATGTGCAGGTAGTTTGTGTTAATGAATCCCAAGGAAAGTATTCATTGCATGAAAACGAGTGAACTGGGTTTCTGAAGCAACCTTGGTAACAAAGCTACATATACAATGACACGCACAATGTCTACGTGACGCAGCTTGTACTCGTATTGGACGTTAAAATCATTTAACAATATTCCCGTAGTTTCGGGTAAGCATGCTGGAGGCAGCATATCCATAAAACGAGTAAACTGAACATAGTGGTTGCCCTGCATTAGGGCGGTTCGCCCATGCACATTGCATATATCAATGATGAGTGTATAACGAGTTCAAAAGAAATATTGAAGCAACTGAAAGTGGTAAACCTATGAGCAGCGGGAAGCATGTAGCCTACGTTAAAAGGATGGAATGCAATTTCTTGTGCCACGACTTGCCACCAGCTCATGCGTGATGGTTACGAGGCGGCAAAAATTGGGAATGATCTAGCAACCGTAAAGCGCAGGAAAAAGCAAGCGGCAAGGCAACTACACTTTGTGCGGCGTAGGTATTTAAAGTGGAAATGGAAGTGGCTGCAAAGAAGGGGTCATGACAAGTGAACTAGGGAGGATTTCTGAGATGAACGAAAGTATTATACCCAAGGATGGGTTATGAGAATCAGTGTCGATGGAACACGGTACATGTGAGGTTGCATGGGAGCGGCTCAGACGCAGCAGTGGCAACGGCGGTGCCTGAAAATAGGTGGTAGGAAATCTATGTAATTATCAGGGCGTTCACTTAACGCTAGGCTTAGTTGCGAACACAACATGGAGTAGCGGTGATGTCAACTGGGCGCAGGTGGCTGAAGTCGATCGGCTATGCGTCATCCGGGCAACGGCAGCGCATGACAAGCGTTTGAATGAAACCCGTGTTATAATTACGGTAGTCACCTACCGGCAGGATGGACCGCTATACACATACGTGTGCGAAGTCAATGGCAAATGGAGGAAGAAGGCTGAATGTGAGCGGCTGTGCTGCACCGTAAGTAACGGCGACGCATGACAACAGGCTAAAAGTAACTCAACAAATGGTAACAACTTTCACGTACCGGCAGGCATTTTTTGTAAACACATACACGCGAAACCTAAATGGAAATGGGACGTAGGTGGCAAATGTGAGCGGTGCAGAGAGATCAATGACAATGGCGGCGCATGACAACGGGCTGAAGGGAACGCAAAGCATGATCGCAGCATTTATTTGTGTGTTCATACCTGTTTACGCTTCTTTTTGTATACATATATATCGTTATCTATCTAGCAAACGATCCGGGGTCAAACCTCTCCTAAACTTTAGGTACCGGATGTCAAAAGCCCTTCACTAGGAGCTCAGGAAGTAAGAGGATTTTTGCAAACCGAGTAATAGTTTTAATTAGCTGGTATTGTAACCGAATGTTAGCCAGAAAGTCGCATTGTTCCCTGCCACCTTAAAACGAACAGTGGCGCCGGTCAAAGATATGCACTCCTCGCTCTAATACCCTAAGCGTTATTAGCCGGTGGAAACGCATGCGGAGCTCATGGCCAAGCTACCAGAGCAGTCACTGTGACATGGTGATAAAAATCCATGTAGACTACTCCCTTGAGAAGTAGGCTGAGGCCACGACAACGGAATATGTGAGGCAGTTTAGGGAAAGTCCCTTCACCCTTAAAAATGGCAGCCAGCTATGAACCGTGGAACCACCGGAATTCCCCACGGCAAGTGAGATTCGCCAGGGTTGCATTATATGCCCTTATTTGTGCTTTGCACCATGAAAGTGCAAAGTGCTGCTTCATGACTACAACGAGCCAAATGCGGTAATAGCTGCAACCGAAGCAGCACTGGAAGTAGTGCATGATCTCACTTGACTTGATAGCAGTGGTGGTTCTGATAGTCACCGCACTGACGGAGTTACGTCAGCTATCCACGAGGCAAGCGTAGATCTGTTGCTGCCATGTTTATGTCGGACGGAGCCGTAATACAGTCATTAGAAAACGGATGTGGATGGTCGCAATCGAGCAGCCAAAGATTTGGTCTGTTCTCTTCTGCAGGACTATTCGCTTGAAGCCAGTTGGTCCGTTAGAAAGCAGTGTGTACTGCAGCGCGACAGGAAACGATCGTTAATGAAGCCGATTTTAAATGACAAAGGGCCGGGCGATGTCATACGAGGATAGGTGTAACGCAATAGGACTTCACAGCCACTCATATGTTCGGCTTTGATTGCGTCCCGTAATGACGCACTGGATACTGCACAGAGGCAACAAAGATTTTCATAATGTGGCTCTCTATAAGTAGTTATCAGTATGCTGCATCATCGCCCTTATGTGGAGCAATCCACTTTTGATGTCGATTAACATCGCTACGGTGATGGCAGTTATCCTGCGCGGAATTCCTGATAAACTTTATGGGAGGGCTGTACCCAATAGCAAACGGTCACCGTTTGCTCTAGAAAATGCCAGCCGTCGAACGAGTCCACCGAGGCAGAGGTACACAAGGTAACAACAACAAAAACTGCAACACATTACTCAGTTGAACAAATGCTTCGCTGCCTTACAACCTTCGTGACGCATGGAATGGAACATATTAAAATGGAAGAAGGGGCAATTACCGAAAAATCTTACTTTGCTAAGTAAACATACACAGTCAAGGCGCCCAAACCTTGTTAACAACATACAGTCACCAAAAGCTGACTATCGTGTAATGATAATAACTAGTCGACAATACAGCTTCCTTGTGGCTTTCACTGCACTACATAAAAGTTACCAATTACCCCGCAGATAAGGCAACTGCAAACATAATTTACCAAGCATTAGAATTAAGAGTGAGCAGCATAGGCGCCACAGGTGCCGTCTGCGAGCTACGTCTGGTCAAGTATAGGAGGAGTCACTTGGACTCCAGACTGCATGGCGAGTGGGAACGAAGTCATTAAGTTTGCTAGTGCGTGACTGCATCCTACACTACTAACTCATAGTTTGTACACACTACGAAGGTTATTCTAGGCTGATTGCGCCATCCAGCATCGTTGGGATGAAATACAATATCTTCCGCATAATAAAGATTAACTGGTTTTGCACCAGGAAAGACCTCAACGCCTACATCATGAGAAGCCGCAAGGGAGCACTCCGCGATGCGGTCCACGACGAATTTTTACGAAACTGGGGAAACTGAGCAACGCTTAAGAACGCAACTTGTTGCCGGAAGGACATCGATAAATCACCTCTGACGCTGACGCGGCCTGTTGTGCTCCATTTCAGAGCACGTAAGATGTTCACATATTTCGTGGAAACAACCAACCGCGCAAGTATTTCGAAAAGAATGGTAGGAGAGGTTGAATCGAACGCGGTCGTTAATTCAAAGTAAACAGCTTTTTACAGCCTGTTTTATACTTGTTGCTGTTTTAGCAGATGCCGCAAAGCGCATTTAAGATCGATACAGGCACGAGCTGGGAGAGAACTGCCTGCTGTCCCCTAAGCGTGGCTTTACGTTCCACAGTGAGGCGTCGAACCAGAATATAGGATACTACCCCTGTGGTTAGCACAATCTGTGCCACTGCCCTTCTTGTAGATTGCCACTAGAATCAATTCACTGGTTAGCCGGAACGGACCCTTTCTTCTAGTTATATCCGAACAGGCAGTGCAATGTCTTGCAAAGAACCTCACCTCCATCCATAAATAGTAAAGGTGGGAGGGAATCCGGGCCAGCTACACGAAAACGTTGGATAGCCGTGATCGCGCTTTGAACCTCATCCGCCGATGTGGCTCGTTAATTGCCCGTCTATGGCTTGTTCTGCATCAACTAAGTAGGAAGCGGTATGGGTAAAGAGTGCCAGCTGAAATGTCTATGAAGGGTTTCAGCCTAAAAGGTCCAACGGCGCTCTTTATTATGTATCAGTGCATCTGCGCTGTCTCTTATTATCTCAATGACGCCGGCTTTCCTGGATTTCGAAATAATGTAAGTTGGCTCTCCCTTTTTGGTATACTGTTCCCGTTTGAAGACTTCGTGCCCAGGTATTCACACTGGGCATGTCAGGTGGAGGTTGCAATGGATCTTTGTGGCTTAATTCGTCCCATCAGGTAAAAATGCGATTCTCCATACCAATGCGAAATCCACAGGAAGTTTGCATTACTTCTTTTCGGACCATGGGTGGAGTATCACAATACTAGGGCCTAAACCCTGTGTGCAGGCCAAGTAAACGCACAGATTGTCCACAGAAAAAAGCAAAGTTCCTCCACAGGTGTTATTGTCAAGAGAAATTGTTTTCATGCCACTAATTGCTCCAGGACATGCCAGCAGAGAAGCTCCAGATAAGAGAAGTATAAAAATATTTTTTCGGAAATGTAAGGCGCGGAACCCAATTGTTCGAACACCAGTGAAAGGCAGCAAGGCTATCCACGTCAGGTAAATTAATTATGATAGAAGAATCTGTTTACAAAATGAAAAGTGGGGTCTATATAAAAACAATTCCACTGCATAAGTTGTGGCAGTATGATTGCGGGGGAGGTAAAACCATTTGTTCAGGCCGCGTGCGTGCGGCCTCTTTTCAATTGGCCAGACGGCTGCTCCATTAGGAAAATAATTAGATCATTAGAATGAAGATTTGCCGTTGAGTTCCCGGAGAAGACATCAGTTGTTACACGTCAGCTGGATGATGAGGAGGGATCAGTCATTACCAGATCATGTACCGTCATGCTCCGGCCGCCGTGTCTGTGGAAATCTCGGGAAAAACAAGCAATGGACAAGAGGCAACCAAACAGACACACAGACTGAATG